AAAAAAAAAAAAAAAAAGAAAAAGAAAAGAAGTGAATTGGTGGGTGGCCACAGTGGCTCACACCTTTTATCCTAGCACTCTGGGAGCCTGAGGTGGGTGGATCCCTTGAGCTCAGGAATTCAAGACCAGCCTGAGCAAGAGTGAGACCACCATCTCTACTAAAAATAAAAAGTTAGCTGGGCATCATGTCAGATGCCTGTAGTCCTAGCTACTTGGGAGGCTGGAGCAAGAGGATTACTGGAGCCCAAGAGTTTGAGGTTGCTATGAGCTAGGATGCCATGGCACAGAGTGAGATTCTGTCTCCAAACAAAAAAAAAAAAAGAAGAAAGAAAGCTGAGGGGATTTGGCTGTCAACTGGGATAGGAATGACTATGCCCTACAGACTCTATCCTGACCCTTCTGTTCTTTCCTTTCAGACCCTGGACATCAACTGGACAGGGATGACTAACTTGCTGGATATCCCAGGACTTAGGTATCAAGGACTTACTAAGCACCTGCTAAGTGATCCAGCCTTGGGTTAGGGGTTTACAGGACACAAAGCTATAAAAGATGCAGCCTGTACCCTCCAGGAGTTTTGACTATATTTGGGAAGATAAGAGAAGTATCCCTGAAATGCTTTATACTGTGATTTTTCTTCTATGGGGAGAGCATGCATTTTTGGTAGAGAATGAAAACTGCAAAAGAGAAAGCTGTGAATGGTAATGACAAAGGGTGAGAGGAGTGGGTAGGGAGTTAGGGGACAAGAGTAGCAAAAAGGATTTCCTTTTTTTTTTTTTTTTGAGACAGAGCCTCAAGCTGAGCCCCTGGGTAGAGTGCCCTGGCCTCACTGCTCACAGCAACCTCCAACTCCTGGGCTCAAGCGAGTCTCCTGCCTCAGTCTCCCAAGTAGCTGAGACTACAGGTGCCCACCACAATGCCCGGCCATTTTTTATTTGGTTATAGTTGTCATTGTTGTTTGGCAGGTGCAGGTTGGATTCAAACCTGCCAGCTCCAGTGTATGTGGATTCAAACCTGCCAGCTCTAGTGTATGTGCCCTAGCCGCTTGAGCCACAGGCGCACAGCCAAGAAAGGACTTCTTAAGGCTGGGGCGGTGGCTCATGCCTATAATCCTAGCACTCTGGGAGGCGGAGGCAGGTGGATTACCTGGGCTCACAAGTTTGAGACCAGCCTGAGCCAGATGGAGACCTCATCTCTAAAAATAGAGATGAGGGGCTCAAGAGAAAAAAACAAAGAAAGAAAAAAAGTAAAAAGGACTCTTTAAGCTTTAGGTTTCTCTTGGCTGTGTGAAGCATAGTAGATTTTGCAGGGGTTTGGAAGCTGGGGCCATACCCACTCCTTTTCTACTCGCCCATTCAGCTCACTCTCTGACACCATGATCATGGACTCCATTGCTGCCTTCCTCGTGTTACCCAACCGATTATTGGTGCCCCTTGTGCCTAACCTTCAAGATGTGGCTCAGTTGCGTTCCCCTCTGCCCAGGGTATGGCCTCTCCTCCCTTGCCTGGATCCCTTTATCAGGAACCCTGTACTGCATCTTTAGTTCCTCACCATCTTGATTCCTTCCCCCAGGGCATTATTCGGATTCACCTGCTTGCTGCTCGAGGCCTGAGTTCTAAGGACAAATATGTGAAGGGCCTAATTGAGGGCAAGTCAGACCCCTATGCACTTGTGCGTTTGGGCACCCAGACATTCTGCAGTCGTGTCATCGATGAGGAACTCAACCCCCAATGGGGAGAGACTTATGAGGTGGGAGAGCCTGGCTGCAGGAGTCAGGAGGCCCAGATGTTTATGAGAGAAAATGTTGATTGGCTGATCATCACAGCTGCACCCCATGAGACTCTTATCCCTCTGTGTTCTCCAGGTGATGGTACATGAGGTCCCAGGGCAGGAGATTGAAGTGGAGGTGTTCGACAAGGATCCAGATAAAGATGACTTTCTGGGCAGGTGAGACTACCCATGTTGGGATTCTATATAGCCCAGGGCTACCAAGGTCCTGCAGGTAATTACAGTTATTTTGGGGGCCTGGGAATCATGTATCATTTTCCTTCCTAACCTCCCAACCGTACCATGCATGTGCTCACGCACTAAATATCTGTTGAGTGTAAGGAAAAGAGAATCTGAGATCTGCCAGTCATTTCTGGGTGGGTGAGTGGAAGGCTGCTGACATGCTTCTAATTATAATATTGCTCTCACTCTCTCCCCACCTCTCCCTTCAGAGTGAAGCTGGATGTAGGGAAGGTATTACAGGCTGGAGTGCTGGATGATGTAAGTTGGGAGAAGAGGACAGAGGGAGCAATCTTACCCTCTGAGCAGATAATAGTTCCTGCATTTGTTGGGAGGTATCTGATTTCTATTGCACATCACTTTCTTCTACGTCTCCTTTTAGTGGTTCCCTCTACAAGGCGGGCAAGGTCAAGTTCACTTGAGGCTAGAATGGCTGTCACTTTTGCCAGATGCGGAAAAACTTGAGCAGGTAAGCCACAGAGGAATGAGGAAGCTGGCAGGGGAAAAGTAGGTAGCTGGAAGTATAAACAGGCTAGAGGGACCAAGGACTAACTATTCCTACCCACCCTAGGTTCTACAGTGGAACCGAGGAGTCTCTTCTCGACCGGAGCCACCATCAGCTGCCATCTTAGTTGTATACCTGGATCGGGCCCAGGATCTTCCTGTGAGTTTAGCTGATGAGTAGAGAGGCCTGGATGTAGCATTCCCATACCCTTCCTTGTTAAGGATGCAAGTACCCCCAGCCTACTTCCCTCCAGAAGCAGCAACATGTAATACCAGGGGTTCCAAGGAGAAGATCAAATCCACCTCAGGGAAAAGATTCTGATGAGATTCCCGCCTTCCTTTACTGAAACAATAATAAAATTCCTCAAGATAGTGACCTCTGGGCTCAACGCCTATGGCTCAGGTGGCTAAGGTACCAGCCACATACACCTAAGGTGGTGGGTTCGAATCCAGCCCGGGCCTGCCAAACAACGATGGCTGCAACCAAAAAATAGCCAGGCGTTGTGGCGGGCGCCTGTGGTCCCAGCTACTTGGGAGGCGGAGGCAGGAGACCCACTTGAGCCCAGGAGTTGGAGGTTGCTGTGAGCTGTGATGCCATAGCACTCTACCCAGGGGGACAACTTGAGGCTCTGTCTCAAAAAAAAAAAAAAAAGATAGTGACCTCTGAATTTTATATCCCCTGCAGCTGAAGAAGGGGAATAAGGAACCCAACCCCATGATACAACTGTCAATTCAGGATGTGACTCAGGAAAGCAAGGTGAGGGCCAATATTGACATCACTGGGGGAGGTGTTAATTTGTGTGGGCAGAGGACTGTCCTGGGATAAAGTCTCCCCTTTAGCATCCCTGTAAATGCAAGGGGGTTTTAGAGGAAAGGGAATGGTGCTGTTGTATATGCCCTTAATCTCATCCTTCCATCTCCAGACTGTCTACAGCACCAACTGTCCAGTGTGGGAGGAAGCTTTCCGGTTCTTCCTGCAAGACCCTCGCAGCCAGGAACTTGATATACAAGTGAGATAATCGCTTATTCCTCCCTCCTAAACACTCCATTCTGTATTTCCAGATGTGTACCATTTCTTCTCTCTCCCTTTGATCCCTATTTTTAATCCATCCACCTGAACTCTGCACCTCCCCCCAAATCTCCCCACTGTTCCCCACCTATCTCTCTAGTATTATTTATATAACTGGGAATTATCTACTTAAAATGAATGAATTAATGGCATGTAAATTATACCTCAAAATTATTAACACTTAGGGTGGCACCTGTGGCTCAGTGAGTAGGACACTAGCCCCATATACCGAGGGTGGCAGGTTCAAACCCGGCCCCAGCCAAACTGCAACAAAAAAATAGTCTGGCGTTATGGTGGGCACCTGTAGTCCCAGCTACTCGAGAGGCTGAAGCAAGAGAATTAATTGCCTAAGCCCAGGAGTTGGAGGTTGCTGTGAGCTGTGAAGTTATGGCCCTCTACAGAGGGTGACAAAGTGAGACTCTGTCTCTAAAAAAAAAAAATTATTAACCCTTGGCATTTTTGCTGGGCGCTGTGGCTCACTCCTGTAATCCTAGCACTTGGGAGGCCAAGGTGGGTGGATTGCCTGAGCTCACAGGTTCCAGACCAGTTTGAGTCAGGGAGACCTCGTCTGGAAAAAAGCTAGGCTTTGTGGTAAGTGCCTGTTATCCCAGCTACTTGGAAAGCTGAGGCAAGGGAATTGCTTGAGCCCAAGAGTTAGAGGTTGCTGTGAGCTGTGACGCCACTGCACTCTACCCAGGATGACAGCTTGAGGCTCTGTCTTAAAAAAATTAAAAAAAAAAAAAGAAAAAGAAAAAACAGGCTCGGCGCCTGTGGCTCAAGTGGCTAGGGCGCCAGCCACATACACCTAAGGTGGCGGGTT